GTGACTGAATATATCCAAGTCATGTGTGTGTGTGTGTGTGTGTGTGTGTCAGTGTCTCTGTGTGTTTATCAACTGCACTAATGAGCTCATATCAAACACATCAGAGTCAAAACACTAGAAAAGTCTCCAACAACACCAGAAAAAGTCGCTAGATTTGTCGCTAGTAGCTTTTGACAAAAGAAGTCGCCAAGAGGGTTTGGAAAGTCGCCAGATTTAGCGAGAAAGTCGCCAAGTTGGCAACACTGGCACCGGCTAAATATGTATAAAAGAGATCCCATTAAAAAGAAATTGCAAAAAGCTTAATAATTCAAAACCTGACCAAGGGGAATTCTGGCCTGATGTCTTGAGATGAAGTTTAGCTCAACACCAGAGCTAAATGGTCACAGATTTACATGGTTAATTAAGAGCTTTTCAAACCACCCCTGTGAGGTCACTGTCACTTTCGCCAAATTTAAAGACAAAGTATAACACAAAGGGGGAAAAAATATCACACGTGTTCCATCTTGGAAATAGTAGAGAGGGACAAAGATAAGAGATCTGTTTTCTAACAATGAATTGCTCAACTGTTTGTTAAGCTGCATTTAGTCACACCAAGTTGCCTTCCAATCCAATTATCATTTTTCCAATGGCCCTTCAGAATGGAGCCAACCAAGTGGCAATGCTGCTATCTTATTCCAAGGAGAGTAAGCTAACGTTGCTGGAACTTAATACACTGGTATGCATACAATATTTTGCAATACGCTCTCACCATCTTGGCTGAGGTGTGAAAGGATCAGACCATTTTCCTAAATATTCAGACAAAGTAGCTTGATTGTTGCTCAATGTTTCAGAGAGATACATTTGCAAGAGATGCTGCAGTTAACAGTTGCTAAACCAAATAAGAAAGATATCAAACTGTCAATATTGCTACTAAGCCATCTTGAGGGAATTGAAAAAGATGAAAGAAGAGAGATGGGGAGAGAGGAAAGAAAGGGAAATCACAGGAGGAGAAGACAAGATATAAGGAGTAGAGAGAATGAAGCAGTGAAAAAAAGGGAACACGGGGGGAGGAAACCATAAAAACCTTGGCTGATAAGAGGAATAGATGGAGGGGAAGGAAGACAGAAAGACAGCACACATTCTGAATGGTTAGTGGTACACCACCGCTCTTGGTTTTCAATGATGGTTTGGCAGTGAACAAGAGGCAGCTGGCTGGACTGAACTTGGGTGGGACCCAGCAGCACTGCCAAAGGATAGATGGGAAGTGTGTGTAAGTTTGTATAAAGGACATACTGTATTGAGGTATGTGAATAAGAGTGTGCTGGTAGTTCTGCATTTATGTGTCTGCACGTTTTGGTGTAGTTGGTCACTGGCAGAATGCGTGTGAGGGAAGTGATCCATCAGGGTTCAGCAGGGGAAAGTCTGTTCTGACAGTCCTTCCTGTTGGAGGAAAATGGACTAGATGGGAGCTAAAGAGGCCCAGTTAGTACATGGAAACCACCAGCACCCATTAGCTCAGACTCATTACAAACCAAACTTGAGGAAAACCGCTGATTTTCATCATTAGTTCCATGTATGTCTGCAATAATTGGCAATGTTGCTTTCAAAGATTATCTGAGACAATCTGAACATTATCTGAACAACTAAGGCCTAAAGTCAAAGCAGAATATGATCATTTCTCCTATAATGCGAGTCCTTCATTTACCTCAATGAAGGAGAAGGCCTTTGTTTGAGATGTACTTTTTGGATTAGAAAAGTCCAGACTGTATGATCAAAATGTATTTGTCCACTTCTGTACAGGAATTGCTGTTAAAATGTTTGAAACAGTTTCACTTTCTTTAAATGTTGACACTGAAACGTTTGGTTCATCTTGAAGTTAAAGCACTGCAAAACATTAAAGAGGTAGCTGAAACGTAAATACTGAAAGAAATTGCAGAAGTGCAGTTAAGAAAGAATTGCTAGAAGAAGTTGAAGTTTCAGTCTATGTGGAACTGTTACATGAAACTGAAGTGTCACTTTCAGTGCAAGCAGCTAGTGAACTTAAGGTATCGGTTGAAGTGAAGCTGAGAGGAGTTCATGGTGTTTGTTGAAGTGTAAGAATAAGTATCGTCGGCAGTCCCCAGAGATTAAAATCTCACCAAAACATATGAGAAGATGATTTAGATGCCGAGTCATCACCCACCCAAATGCAGTGATGTAGCAATCTTTGGCAATGTGGTACTAGCCCCAGCCCAATGGCTATCCAAGCCCCACCAAGAGTGATTTGATACTGCTATAACATGCACGTCAAGGGTCATGTGACTGAAGGGGGTAGTCGCTACTGGGCTAATCCCATGTTTGTTATGTTTTTACGACAGTAAGAATGCGTCTCCTTTTGAATTTCTAACATTTCTCCAGCCAGGCATTCTAAACAGTATTGGTGGAAGTCTTTGGTTAAGCCATCCCACATGTTAATTGGAGCAAAAATTGTGATATAATTGAGCTGCCATAGAAAAATTGAAAAGTAACTTATGTATTGAACTGATCTTTAAATTTGTTTTTTGAAATCTAATTAACTAGAAGTTAGGTTTGCATTAATATTCAGCACAGGTTCAATGTAATGCATTTTTGAGGGATTCGCTAATTGATTTGTTTCTAACGTAATAATCATATTTATTTTGGATTATTTTTGCACTGCTTATATTTGAATGGTATGGTATAAACCAACTAAAACCTCCAATCAAATTTTGCTTAATATTTTATCAGCGCTGTCTGCAACTCGGAGCACAGAGGAGAGACCAAAACTACCGACACTCGTGGTCAGCTGATGAAATTATCATGAGCTGTAAGATAATGTCAATTAGCATTAAAGAAATGCAGAACAGAGCAATTATCTTCTAATACTGTGCATATATCACCAAGCAAAATCGTAATTGAAGGTTGAATGTGGGCGTGTAGAGGGCAGGATGTGAGGCTGAACCAGCTGGACACATTTACGGGTTGATTTAGGAATTCATAAAAGGAAATAGCTCACTGGCAGGCTCACTGGACCGTGCACTTCCCATGACAGTTTGTAATGTTTCCAGTCAGGATGCTTTCTGTTGCTCCTCTGTAAAAGTTGACATGAAATTGGCACAGGAATTTCTATTCATATTTTTTATTAATATTTATTAAGTTTACATTTTCATCAGAAAGAGTGTCTAATCACGTGGTGGATGAATACAATTTCAACAATTCAATCGCAAAATATTGAAATTTTTGAATATCAATGTACCTTTTGTAACACAACATGGCTCTATTTCTCAAAGACAAAGTTGCAAAACATTCCATCTCATTGTAAAATAAAGTGTTCTAAAAAATCATTAATAATTAAAAAAAAGAACGTGCTTGAGATGCATTTTTCAATATGTTATACAATACAAATCATTTTAAGGCCAGTGATTGGTGTACTTTTGGTTTTTGCAACGTTCTTGAGTTATTGGAGATTTTTTGGAGACACAAGCTGAAAACAATCCTGCACACAAGGGCAACTTAATGCACAGGCTGTCAGTGGGGGTGCAGACATGCTGGTGGAATTTAGGTAAACTGCATGCGCCGCCATCTTGGAGTGAACCTTTTAATAGGGTAACTAGCCAGGCTACCAAAAAATGTCTAACCAACGTCTGTTGCGTGACCCTCTCCTTGCAGGTCATAATGATCCCACCAAAGTCTCCCCAGCTCCATCCCGTGAGGCAGCAGCAGAGGAGCTTAGTGTCCCCGCTTAATCTAAGCTCAACCCTCATGGCAGTGCAAGGCCCACCACCATTTTGGTGGTCAAAGCCTCACCAAAATGTCTGAAATGGTTTTAAGGTATCAGTACCAGCATGCTGCTTCATTAGTGCAAGTTATCCCAACATCCATAAATCAGAGAAGGACACGGCTTTGTTATAGACAGGAAATGTAGACATCGTATTTGACAAATCAAGTAGTGAATGAATGTAGTGAGAAATGCAAGGCTGGAAAATTCGTGTTTTATTTTCTGAGATGTACTGTAGAATGTTGCTGCTTGTTTGCAAACTAATACACTAAGCTAGAACTTGACTGTAAGCATGCGATTCAAAGTTTATGTGGGGTTCTGATTGTATTCACATGCAAATACCATATAATACAATAAACTACAATAGGTCCAGCTTAATATCCTCATACCAAATGTTCAACACTTACCCACACAGTCTTGGCTATCCTGGGACTCCTGGTAGCCCTGCTCACAGAGGCATTGGAAGGAACCCAGTCTGTTCTCACAGAAGCCACGAGGGCCACACAGTGTCTCATTGAGTCCACACTCATCAATATCTGTAGAACAAACAAACAAAGCCAAGACATAGCAAATGCTTTTTCCTTGATTTGATTTTTAGTTTCCCTCTTAATTTGTTCCATCCTTTCCTTTTGAACAGGAAAGGAAAACAGCCTCTCAATTATCTGTCTCTCTAACATCTTATTTTATTCTAGATGTTTTCATTGTAAGACACTTAAATTGAACTTTGATGTATGAACATCTGCTTCAGAAATAAATGCTAATGTTTGCAGATTGAGACTCACGCTCAGGAATACACACGTCTCCTGTGTTTTCCAGACAAATCAGGGCAGTGACATGAAATGTGAAAATTCAATGCAGTGGATTAAACAAAATGCTTCTGGATTGAAGCAGCTGCTGTAAAAAGTTGTAAATGAGACATGAACTAACTATTTCATTAACACACACACACACACACACACACACACACACTCTCTTCCCCCCCCACATAAATCAGGCAGAGAGCAACACATACCCCTCCTTGTCTAGACAGCTAGCTCAAAGGCTCCCGTCTGTTTCTTCTCCTCTCATTTCTTTTCTTTTCACTCTGTTTTTTCTTTGGCAGGAAATTACATTAAAACAGCTCTGGCACAGGGGCCAAGACTTCTGCCATGTTGGAGAAAATAGGGGCGGCATGAATGTGAAAGAACTCAAAGACTTTTTTCAGATATTTCTCTCTTGTTTAAGAGGCGGTGACAAAGTGTGATATTGAGGGAAGCAATGGAGGGATGGACACAAGGATGCAGATAATGACAAAGGTTAGAAAAGAATAGAATGAACCTTCTACTATGTGGGTGTATATTTTGAACAAGGAAAGCTATGTAAATGAATACTTGAATACTGCTTTTCATTTGCAAACATTTTCTTCAGTGTTGATATTGAAGCAGCACGTATCTATAATACAATGTAAAAGTACTGGTGTGTTTAATAAAGGATCATGTTGAAACATTTATCACAGCACCAGCTCAGTCCTTCAACCTGAGATAAATCAGGCAATTAAGTCCTCTTTGTACAGAGAACATATAAATGACTCTCATATTTAACTTCGCAGTATGACTCTAGGTAATAACAAGGTAGTAGGGAAGTCCTCCTACAACCAATATATTCATACTATACTACAAGTCAAAAGGGACAAACCATACAGAGTCATTTGAATGTTACAATGCTGAATTCAATGTCTCAACTTGTCTTATGACATGTTGTCTGACGATGTCAGAAAGGTCTATAGCTGTCCAACACACTGGAAGGTGAAGTGAAAAGCCAGCATTCATCGAGAGAACAAGCATTCAGGGGAAGCATACTGCCAGCTTTACACTGACATCATCCTGGGTGAGGACTCGACTGAATTTCAAAGAAGGCTGGTATGTAACAAGCAAGTGAGTGGTTACTCTCAGACTTCTAAACCAACAAAGTTTTGAAGGGTTGAGACTGTCAATTTTATACATTTTTCTTATGATGACAAACCCCTTGAAAAGACCAAAACCAAAAGTGAATGTATTCTACTGATTATTATCTTAAGTATTGTCATTGTTGTCCAAATGCTAAGGGTTCAGCCATGCTATAGCAGCTCTGTGGGCCTGTACTGTACAGTGCTTTGAGCTTAATTATAACACAACATACAAACATGCTCACGATGACTGATGTTTAGCAAGTTCATGTTTATCATGTTCACCATCTTTGTTTATGGTGTTAGCATGGTAACATTTAGCACTAAACACAAACTGCAGCTAAGGCTGATGTCTGTCTTTTTTTTTGTTGCATCTATTGGCTCACAAATTAAATATCTGACAAATAGAAATTTTGACCTGATGATGGGAGTGCAAAAAAAGTCAGACTATCGCTAAAGGCATTATGATTCATCCTGTGGAGACCATGAATGTGTGCAATTAAATCCATCCAACAGTTGTTTAGACATTTCACTCAAAACTTTAAAAGTCAACCTCATGGTGGCACTAGAGGATTAGTAAGGGGATCACTAAAGTCAGTAGGATTCATCCTCTGGACACCATGAATGCCTGTAACATGGTATTCCATCCAATACTTGTCTGACATTGCAATCCATAGAGCCATGCCAGAAGCATGGCTAAAACACATCAATGAGCCTCACTATTGAAGTGGGTGGCATGTTCCTTCATCACCATGAACACACACATTGCAGTTTATTTGAACTCAATCCCTCATACACCGTCCTGTTGCCACATATAATAGAACACCAAATGTGGATGAATACACCATTGAAAATAGTCCCCAACAAATGCACAATTATCTCCTGTTTGTTAAAAACTGCATCACATTAATATGTTTCAAAAGCAAGTTCTAATGAATGAAACCCCATCACATGTGTGTGTGTGTGTGTGTGTATGTCCGTGTGTGTTTCTCTTCTTTGTAGTGCATCTTACCATCACAGGAGGGCGTGTCAAGGCTGGCAGTGAATCCACTCTCACACACACAGAGATAGGACCCCTCTGTGTTGAGACACTCTCCGTGGGGCGAACAAAGCTCTGGTTCATCCATACATTCATCAACATCTGGGAGGAGAGAGACAGAAATCCACTTAGAGGTGTGTGTGTAACATCTAAATCCGGGATCGGAAACTGGTGGTCAGAAGATATAGCCCTGCTCCGGCACTCACCTCTGCAGCTGGTGCCGTTGATCTGTCGGTATCCCTGGGGGCAGGTACAGGTGTAGGAGCCCATGTTGTTAACACACTCCCCTACAGCCTCACAGGGCCTGGATTCTTCTAAACACTCATCCACATCTGGAATAAACACACATCAGTCTTATAAGCATTTTGAAAAGATTGTTGAAACAGATATTTAGAGAATGAAATTCTTTAAGGGATGGTTGTCATTACTAACATAATCAGAAAGTACAATTACAAATTGAATCTTAAATAGTTACTGGTAGCACCAAATTATGGAAATGTATGATGGGTAGAACCTGTAGCCTATATTTATTCAAGATCATATTTCAACAATGGTAACACACCAACTACAGGTGTGAAAGCCTGATTTTACAAAGCACGGTGTAACTCTTTTTTTGAAAAATTACTCAATAATTACAATTTGTCATTCTTACTAATATTGCATGGTCCTGATAATGTGTGTACAGTAGTGCTAGTACTGTATATCATACCATCACAATGGTCTCCAGCTGGAGACACTCTGAAGCCTAGCCCACACTGACAGATAAAGGAGCCTTCAGTGTTCTGGCAGTGGCCTCTGGTACAGACCCGCTGATCCTGGCACTCATCTATATCTGAAAAAACCCAAACAATGAAACAACGACATCACATAAGCAGAATGCAAAAGGTCAAGCAATTTTTGCCCAGCATTTCAGTTGCTAAACAGTAGATAAATAATGTACTAAATGCAGTAAATTAATAAATAAGTTATTTTATATAACTTAATTTCAAAACATTTTTTAAGAATAACGAACAAGCTGCTTGTGTTACAACTGACTGCAATGTCTTAAGACACACTGTGGAAGCAGTGAGGGGTGTGATTTGTAGTCCGACTGCTAGACAGTGCTCTAGGGCTGAACACTTTAGGTAAACACAGGGTGAGAGTGGCATATCATAATTGGTCAATATTATATTGATATACAGTCCAATGGCAGTATTGAGTGATCTTTAATAATTCAACTTTGGTTGATAAAGCCAGGAAGTGATGTTTACAGTTTGATCAAGTTTCAGTGTGACATGTGTGAACACAATTTACCGCATAGTGGTTGTATGCCTCTGCCAGCCATTCATGTTTCAGTTTACATCCATGTCTGTCCAAAATGTCATCCCTACATAATTTGATCCTATTAGACATTTGTGTGAAATTGACGTAATAATTCTTGAGTTATGGCAAAACACGTGTCTTGTGAGGTCACAGTGACCTTTGACAACCAAATTCCAATCACTCCAAGATACATTGTTGACGAGAATGAACCGGATTGACGGACAGACGGGCGCAGAGGCATAAAAAAGTCCCTTTGCTAAAATAAGGCAAATGTTTTATGAATGGTAAAGCCATAATGTCATTCATGCAACACTGCCCAGACCTAATACATGTTTATGAGGTAACAACTTATTTTAATGGCACTTGATATTTGCAGTCATTACGCAGTTTATATTTATAGAGTTATTCTGACCACCACAGTTTCTGACCAACAGCTAAATCATTGTGGCTTAAAGTGGGTGTGTCCAAAGAGTCCAGTACAAGTCATCATTGGTTAGCAGAATTAAACAGCTTATTACAAGTTGGGTTTCATTTTCGTAGCTCTGGCTATCAGTTATATCAGTTATGATAGCCTTACTCTCCATGATAATTGATTTAGGAATTTATAAATTGGTGGTGTTTAACGCGCTTCAGAGATTTCTAAGCCACAGCATATCCTCCGACCAAGACGCCACTATACCATCTTTTTGGACAGATTTTTGGTGATGTCACCTTGTTCTGATATCCAAGCAGTAACACTTGTGGGTATACAATATTATCATATTTGACAGAACTGATGGCCAGAACTACAAAAATAAAGCCCAAATAGCACATAACATAATTTTGAGCATGATCTGGAAGTACTTTAAGTTTATTTGTTACACACACACACACACAGACTGTAAAATGTGACATTTCCCTGAGCTTGGCAGTGTCATGCAAACATCTGTGAGTGGGGTTATTACTTTCTATAAAGGACTGTTGCATGGCCTAAGTATTTCCTCTCACCACCACCACCACTCGCTGCCACCCCACTGTGGCTTGCCTCGCCTTGCACGGTGTGTGAACAGCCAAAACCTGACAGCTAACTGTGTCACATGGAATATGGAGCAGCAAACTACTGAAAGAGGAGAGATGGGCACACCTGTGATCTCTAGATTGTGGGCCCATACTATGAGTTCTTTGGAATGGTATATTTGTTCAATTGCTTGATTCACAGTATCTTATTCTGCATGTGTTCCCTCAACAGATTTATGTTTTGATAGCTAGACATAATACAATAATAACGCAATTGTGTCAAGAAATAAAGAATGCTGCGTACCTAGGTACTCTACTTTCACAGCAGTCAAAACGAAACCAAAGTGCACATTGGTGCTCGGAGTGACAATTGAACGGCCTAGACTGCCCTTGTCAATTGCTCCATCTAAATAATGCTGTCATTTTAAAAGTAGTAGGTACAGTATGGTTAGTAGTACCAGGCAGCAATGGGGAGTTTAGCTCCCCTGAAAGAGACATGAGCACCCCACAAAGTCTCATTCGAGTGATATAGGGGGAGCTCTAAAATATTGTAATAATTGATGCCACTGCTTTTTTTTCTGCATAAATTGATATATTTCCTGCATTTGTGTGCGTGTTTCATTCCTATATTTGTAGGGTTGACACAGTTTAATGTAGTTTGACACCTCAAGTCATCCTCCATACTCCATCATAAAAATAGTTCTGTTCTAATATATTTTCTTGTGTAGCAAGGGAATACAACTTGCATTTCCTTGTGCAACCTGTGTTGTAGAATAACAATAAACACACCTTGAACATGATGCGAATCAGTATGTCTAAGCTTCCTTTGGACGCATGTCTGCATGGCTGTGGATAATCTTTTTTATTTATTTTTTTATCTCCGGCTACCTGATGCATTACAGCTGATAAACCTCAAGATTGAAGAAAATGGTGGTTTTCACCTATTCAGAGTTAATCACTTTAACTCTATATAATAATAGAACCAGTGCAGACAGGTTCATCCTCAGCAGCTAAAGAGATTTTATTGCAGCTCTGGGGAAACAACCATCTGGCCTGTTTGCCCTCACAGCCCTAATTCAGTATTATTTTTGTGCGTAGGGAAAGCTGCGTTGAAGTGACAGGAAACCACATAATGACAGAGTGCTTTAAATTTATATCCCAATAAGGGGGAAGAAGCAGGGAGGAGGGTATTGCTTTCTCTACATCCTGGAAGCAGGATTCTTAGTTTGCAATATACTGGTGGAAGGCTTTCTTAGCTGACCAGTGCCACAGAACCCTAGCTGGACGTGCTTGCCAACATCCAGCTTGAAACCTAGGCGACCATCTACACCGACACCCTGCCAGATCATCTAGAACCTCAGTTGGCCATGCCTGACGACGGCCTGCTAGATCTCCTAAATCATCAGTTGGCTGTCTTCGTCAACACCGAGCCGGACCTCCTAGATCAGGGGTATTCAATTAAAATTCCAAAAGGTCCAGATTGAGTAAATCTCCTCGGGCAAAGGTCCGGAACATTACAATAATATCTAACTTGCGCCATTTAGTGCCATATATATATATATATATACACATATATACACACATATATACATATACACATATACACACATATACACATATACATACACATACATACACATATATATATACACATACATATATACATATACATACACACACATATACATATATACACACATACACACACATACACATATATATACACACATACACACATATATACACACATACACACACATACATACACACATATACATATATATACACACATACATACACACACATATACATATATATACACATATATACACATATACATATACATATACACATATACACATACATATACATATACACATATACACATATACACATACATATACATATACACATATACACATACATATACACATATACATATACACATATATACACATACATATACATATACACATATATACACATACATATACATATACACATA